ACCTTAAATAATATTTGTGTGTAAACAAGTGTATGGTTTAACAAGCAAATGCCATGGCGTAGACTGGTATTCCTATAGTATGGTTTTGTAATTATATGAGGACTTTTGGTGTTCATTTACTCTATAAATGAGGACTTTTGGTGTTCATCTACCCTAATAAGGACTCTAATGAGGCCGTGTCTCGATCCAATACGTGCGATCATCCTCTCAAATCAGCTACTGATTATTATCTTGATAAGTTATTGTCTCACCAACTAGTACTTAATCAAACACAAGCATCTCCTCGCAAGAATTCTTCCATTGCTCCTCGGCCTATGGAGTATTAGTAGTTGCTTCCAACTAAATTTAAAAAAGTTAATTGTGTCTTCAAAATTCTCTTTCTATTTAGTCTCCGTTTGGTACACATTTTTGGAAAAAGAATGTATTTTTACTGTTGATATGATGGGGAATATGTGATTGAAAAAGAAGGAAAAGTTATTGATATGATGTAAAATATTATTTTATTGAAAAATGTGGTTAAAAATGAGTAGAACGAGAATGAAAAAAATAATGTGGCTCAAACGGGCCAAATGTAAAAGTTTTATAAACGTGTAGTTATAGATTTTTCATTAAGATTAGCTTCATATTTGAAAAATTGAGTATTGAAGTAAGAGGAGCCCTTTATTTAATGTTTATTTAATCTATAATATATTAAATATCACATCAAGTGAGAATCATTTTTTGAATAATATTTAACTCTACAACAGTTTAATTATTTCAATAATACTTTATTTTTCATTTTTTAATATGTAATAAATACTACAAAATGTTTGTCGAGTATGAATTTCGTGTTATTAATTTTCAATTAATTAATATTCACATTAATCTTGATTTGATAAATTTTAATTTGATGAATCTTGATGTGCATGAATATAGAGTTATTATATATGAATTTATTTTATTCATGTATCTATGAAATTTAATGGGTATTTAAATTCATGTATTAACAATTAATTCTTATGTAACAAATGTAGTATAAAAATATTGCTTATTTGTAGTATTTCAATTTTCATCATCATAAAAATTTGAAATCATAGAAGTTAGAGTTTTGAGAATACAATTTTCTTCTCTTAAATTTATATCATAAATTTTATTTTCTTTAATTCGTTTGAGACTCGTCAAATCCTCTCGACAAATTGACATCAAATATTATTTCTATAGCATTTATAAAGTATTTTAGAATAACGTGCAATGCACGTTCAATTCTGACTAGTTAGACAAGATGAAGAGATGAGTGAGAACTATTTCCTTTTTTTTATTTTTTTTCGTGATCGTGGTATTGAAACATAAACTGGGGATTTTTTTTATTTTATTTATTTTTAAACTATTGGAAACGAATTGTTACTTTCTACAAAAATTTCCAACATTGGTGTCATCATCTACGTGGCCGAGTTGCATCAAATGTTGAATCGGTAGTCCGAAAGTAATGGAGACAATGGAAAGTGCTCAGCGCGATTAATTACGTTGATTTTTTTGTGATTAGTTTAATTCATTGGATAAAGCATAAATCATGGCGTGTCCCTTCTTTAATTGTGAAATCAACTTATAAGTTATAAAATTAATTATAATTATGTTGAAAATGAAGTCGAAAGAGACGGAAACCATAAATAAAGCAAACCAATCACGTGTCACCACTTCTCCCAATTCAATTTCAATTGATGGAAATATTCAACAAATCCATTGATAACTCTAATTTAAGTAAATTATAAATTGGGGTCACAAGAATTTGATATTTCCCATTACCATTCAAGTTTTTATTTTTTTTACTAATTAAGTTCATCTTTTTTATTATTATTTCTTCATTCTGAACATCTTCATAAATTAAGAGTACGTTTGGCTAAACTTAAAATTCAATTAAAATTGAAAATATAGCTGTTATTGGGTCCCACTCGTCTAATAAAAATTAACAATAACAGCTAATTTTTCAATTTTAATCTCTACCGAACAAGCCCGAAATATTATGGGATCCACAATCTTTTAACCATATATTCCATCAATTTTATCAAAATCTATTAAAATTTTGATTTTTATCTAAACCAAACGGGGCTTAATTTCCTATGTGCTACTTTTAAGCAACGTTTATCAAATTTTCATTTTAGTCACCTACTTCAACTGCCTGCCTAATTTTCATTGGATGGGCCGATATTTTTCATTTCTATTAAAATGGATCGATGAGAAGTATGATAGAT